AAAAATCTTGTGAAACGAATTTGTCACTTGCCAAAATTAGTTTATTATGTCATAGTGAAAATATGTATTAACATATAAATCCGAGCCTTGGTAATTATTATACTTTGGAAGTTGGAATATATATAATGTATATACTTATAATATATACTAATGAAAAGTAAGACACTCATTTTGTTTTGTAGTTCGGTAATACAATTTATAAAAAAAATTCCCTGTAGAAAATCCGCTATACTAAACGTCTCTAGTTACCCCCTCTGGGACCAAATTTTCCAGAGAATATATCGCTTGTCAGTCTGATTGTCTGAAGTATTTTACTATATATACTATATAGTATAGTCAATAATGGCCATTCATCATATGTAGTAAGACAAAGACAAATACAAATTACAATTGGATATCTACTATATACGAACACCAAAATCGATTTCATATAGTATTTCAAACGAAAAAATAAACCAACTGATGTGAAAGTCGTGAACCGTGAAACAGCAAAAGAAAAATTAAATAAAAACTAAATGGTAGATTACAACTTTGGAAAATATTACATCATACGCTATTCATACAGATTATGTCAGTTTACTATTATATATTTCTATTTTCCGTATGGTCGTTTGGCGATCACTCAGAGCAAATCGAGCAATATTAGCAATCGAGTCCGATTAATCATATTTCACTCCATCGATCAGAATATATTTAGAAAATCTCAAAAATACATTTTCGTACATATTTTGTTCACGGTGAACAGTTTTACCGCAATGTAGTAAGATTTATTTTTAATCGACAGCAAATTATAACATTGATTCAATCTTAGCACAGAACAATATTATTAGGTAATTTAAATATTTCAAGAGAGTATCAAAAATATACATAACTAATATGGATTATACGTAATCAATGATTTATACCAACCACTAAAAAGTCCCTTTAAATCTGTTGAACATAAATGCATTTCTTACAAAAAAAACCTCGAACATTTATCACTTCTGCGTAGTAAATACTTGTAATAATCGGAAAATAATGATGAGATATCATCGTAATTATATTATTGAAAACGATGAATCGCAGCAGCTCAGAAATTCGCAACTGGTCGATAAAATAAATTGATACTTCAATCAGTCAACCATTATTTTTTGCCAGCGTATAATATATATAGCAGAAGCGTCACAAGTCAAGATTTATTTGTACAAGACGAGAATAATACAAGTTATAACCATTTTCATTTTTAAACGACATTCGAATATAATAGTCTTAAAGTTTAGACTGCAGCTATGTTGAAATAAATAATCCGAAATCCAAATGTATTTATAATAATATCGGAGAAGAAATGTATAATTCATTAAATTAAAACAAAAATTAAGTAACTGCAGGATAGCTGTTTATTATACTTAAAAACGCGTATTCTCGAATTTCTAGCATATTACATTACCGTTCATTATGCGTTTTATTAATATACACACATACCTAATGAACCTAAATTAATTTTTTTCGATGTAATTATTCAATTCGATAGTGACTTATCGTATACTATTTTAAACTACGCACTTTTGAACTATGCGTAATTATTTCTATACGGTTTTTTTTTTGTACTGGAGTATATCAAAACATAATTATTAGAATATACATTCATGCATCAAAAAACATGTCATATCATATTGAAATTACGCGTAACACACATTCGAAGTTTATATACATTTAAAATCAAACTAGGTTTAATAAAAATTAAAAAATAACATTACAACAAATGTAATGTTTATTGATTACTGCTGCAGTTAAATTTGCCAAATAAATCAGAAGAAGATTATTTTATCTACATATCGGTTAGATATTTATAAAAGTAAAAAAATCTTTCAAATACCCGAAGACAGACCTAAATTAAGACTGTAACTACGTGAAGTGTGAAGACTGAAGAGTGAAACTTGAGAGTATACAAACAAACAGACAAAAATTACTGAAATCATACTTAGTATGTTCATCGAAATATCAATTGGTGATGCATACTGTATATGCAGACAGTAAACTAATTTGGCAAAAATTGAACGGTATCATAGGATATATAATAGTGAAAATTAATCAACGGTGTGAATATATATATATATTTAAATATAGGGAAAATGGGACGTAGGTTGAATTAACATAAATACATATACTATATGGTGACAATAGGTAATTGTTAAATAAGTACCAATGAACACACGTGTAGTCGTGCAGTCTAATTACAATATAGACATTATACACCTCATCGTATGTAAAGCATATTACTTATTCACTCATATATAATTATTATAATTTAAAATACAATTTTAATATCAAACTGTCAAATATTAGGTATAATAGCACATCAAATAAGAAAAATAAATTTGATCGAAATCGATAATAATACGTCTCAAACAAAAACAAAAAACTCGTCTGAGAGTAATAAATTTTTTGGTGTTTTTATTTACAGAATAAATCACGGTGACTGGTGAGTACAGGTCGTTCAGTAATTTTATTCGCAGTCTCTGATACAGTGCTAAGTCCGCCAGACAAATGTATCCTAGTGCATTGAGCTGTGTATTACAATATTATGCAGACGAGTATAGTGTGCGAGTGTAGAATTTCAATTGTAACTGAAAAAAAGGGAAAATCTCGTGCATTATATTATATTAAATTGAACAAATCTGCATGTGCTATGAGAATAATAATTGTGTTCCTCGAACTCTAATCGTTGTCAACTATTATACCTAACATTATTATATAATATTATCACGAAGTTATGACGTTATTTGTGAATAACATAAAATATATTATTATAATAACGGCAGAGTCGTTGTATACAGGATGATTCACCAAGACAGCATATCTCTCCCTTTCATTCTTCAATGATACAATTACTCAAAATATGATTTATGGGGCTTTTAAACATAGGAATATACTTAAAGGTGATATTTTTCAAATTCTTGAGATTTCAAGGACTTAAGGAGTGTCCTGTGGAAATAAAAACTTCTGTTTATTAAATTACAACCCTCCTTTGCGGAAAACTATTTGGGAGATAATATTATTCTGAAAATGTTGACACATCAGAATCAAAATTCGAGTAAGTAGTTTCTGAGTATAATACTAATATTTAAGAATATTGAATAATAGGAGAATAGGACCATTGAAATTGGTTTGGATTTGGAAGACTGAACTTCCGGGGCTATAATTTTTTGAAGAATTTAGTTATTCATGTTGATACTTTGATAGGTTAATATAAATTAAACAACCAACATTAATCATTTTTAAAGTCTAAGTATAATAAATACTAGGTCCAATATAACATGTTTATTTTATATCTTTGAAAAAACCATTTTTAAGGAATATTATGTTTATAGATAAACATTTTAATAACTGGTAAATTATATTTGTTCAAATTTTGAATTAGATTCATCACATTTTTCCAAAAAATGATCCCCTTAATAATTTATAGTAAAAAAGAGGTGGAAATTGTTATTTGAAAAATAGGAGGTTGTGTTGTCACAGAACTCAATAGCAAAACAAATAATGCGTAGCCAACCTGACGCCTGCAGTATAGCGGTGAAAAAAATTGTACTCGGAATTTCGCGGTTCGGCGGGCGCCAGAAAGTCTACTGCGCAGTAGACGTGTGTAATGTGCACACTTGGAATTTTTATGTTAGTACGTTATCGTAAAATGTTCGGCACGTTACACCGTTGGCATCAGAGAAGAATGTATATTTACTATGCGCGAGACCGATAAACACAGACGGTATATAATAATATATATATTACATTGCACTGAAGTCTTATATTATGTATTACGATGACGTGTACAGTATATATCTATATAGGTACTACTATAGGTTAGGGAATATCGTTAAGATCTGATGACTTTGATTGTCTACCAAAAATGTGGGCAAAATGTTCAACTACTTTCGAACAAACTTTGTTGCGATTCGTTTGACTGAAAACTTAATATTCATAAATGTATTCTGTCTGTCCGAATACTTGTGAATTAATTGAAAAAGATATCTGATGTGAGACATATCTAAGACAAAAACACACACTTAAAGTCGAGCTCGAAAGGAAATTTAATTGGTGAACAAAATATATTAGAAAATTGAATGACTGGCATGATACATCGAATATACAAATCGTTAAAACTGTAATCTATAAAATATTGAAATATGTATACCATGTACATTTTTTATTATTATTTATTTTAAATAACTTGGGTCCTTTTGATGTTGGATTGGAGGTTGGAACAGTGATTCTCAACCATTTATGTTTCATGCTACCCTTAGTCATATGATAATTACGCTAGTGAACCACTCGAAATACGAGTCATATGTTTATTTGAAGAACGTTCTTAAAAAAATTCGAATCAGACGATTTGAGATCGTTAATAAATGGATTCAAAAGAACAGTATTGTTTAGTAATGGCAGTAGATTATAACTCTGGAAATTTGCCTCGGAAGTTGAACATGTCCTGTCGCTGGACTGCTGATGTTGGACACTGAAGCAGGGCCGAAGCCTGAAGCGACAGTATAGAACATTCTAGTCGAATAGAGACAGATGGAACTATTGGAGGTAGCCGTTAATTTTTACTTAACCATATATGAACATTGCCGTTTGGACGTAAAAAAAGCGAACCGTCGCCTGCAGCAGATGTGAAACATCAAGGTTGTATTTAAATGTAAAATAAGTTTAGAAACCGAGAATTTAGCACCATTTAATTCTTCGGTAAACTTTTTTTTTTTTAATTACCATTTAATAATAGGTAGTTAATAAACTAATATATTAATTATTCTCGAGACAAAAGTTTTAAAATCTATTTAATTGTTTATATTGTTAGTTTGGCAGCTACATAATATTATATCTTATTTTTTTCCGTGTATATTATGAATAATTTATTATATTCTAAAAGTTATTGCACACTTTCCTTATGTTATGCAATAATATATTATTAATATTAATATAATATACTGTCTATGATCATGTCGAATATCTTTGTTCTTGCCGTACAGAATATACATCGGCCGAAGTCGAGGTTCGTTCACCGTCCGCCAAATCGATCGCGAGCACCGATTTTTCGACAATCTAAGAAACAGCTTGACCTGCAAAATCGCGTTGGCAAGTCGCGGTGATTTTGGAGGGTCCAAAGGAACCAGGTGATACAGTTCAATACCGAACATCACAGGGCGGCTTACTTAGGTGCGAGTTTCGATTGAGACTTCCGAGGTTAAAAACAGCAGCGAATTAACTTCATGAGCAGAGACGCAGCAGTGTGTGGAAAAGGATTTAGAGATTCGTCCAACGATTACCTAGTTTGTTGCTCTTGATATAGGTATCAATCAAAAAAAAAAAAATGGACACATTCTCAATCGGATACCACCGAGTCGATTTGTAAGCTGAACGTTAGTTGAAATAAAAAGTTATACCTATAGCGATTACACGATTGTTATACTGCAAATTCTACATTATGATTTATAATATTTGTGTTGATTAAACCTGTTGGTGTGTTATCTATTTAATTGGTTTTTTTTTGATATATAATTATTATATTATTGCTTATATTAACACGACGCAAACAACTAACTATAAAGTATAAACTTATATACAAGTATACAAACGTTGACACCCACAACGAATAAATTATAATCTAGTCAATGGTACTCAAGACGAGAATTGTACATGTAATTCACGGTAAATACACACAAAATAACAACACACGAATCTTCAGTAAACTTCAAAAATGTAAAAAAAAATTTTAATATAGAAGAAAATCGTTGTTTTAAAAGGTCCGATGTGTAATTTAAGTCACCAGCTCTTCACCGCTATCCGTAATAATATCATCCGACGTCAACTGTCTCATGCTGCTAAAACAAAAATAAAAAATTAACGTTGAAATTAGGGCACGAGATGATCGTTTATAATAATAAAAATAATTTACAACCAATCACATTTATACACATTACCCACACAATAATATTATGTACGAAAAACCAAAATGAATTCGAAAACTCAGCAGCACCAGCGTTTTGTGAAAATAAATAACAATAGTTTGAACGATTCGAGCAAACGTAACAATAATAAAATAGGGTACTTCCGACAATATTTAAATGTACCATAAAAAATTAATTTGCAAACAAATATTTTTATTTTTTTTGCTATCTTATGCCTCGTCCGTTTCTCATAAGTATTATAATAATGGTGTATGTGTGGATTGTGCCTGTACTAAAGCCGTAAGAGTGCCAATAATATGCATATTTTTCGCCAATATTAAATGGTTTTAATCGATAGCTGTGTTATTATTCATTGGTCATTCATACAGTTTTTATTAGTTTATGTCTTCAGGGGTTAGATATACACGCCGGCCAAACTACAATTTTTACAATCTTCTGGGAAACTATTATGGTGAAATTTCGGCCAATTTTGGCAATAATGAGCAAACTTTTGTTTCTGACGATGTATCATTCGAAACGGCGTATTAGCAAAATTGGAATATAAATCTCTGAACTGGAAATTGTTCAACTGAAATTGTTCTTGGCAAATTTTTGTGAAAAAAAATACTCTTAGATGACTCAAACTAATGAACTGAAAAAATAATTATTTAAAAAGTCTTTAAAATGCCATTTGTTCTATTGTACATAGTATAATACCTATTATCTAAAGATTGGAGTGTAACTCGTCGTTGAGTATTTGAGTAAATCACAGCTGCAGTATTGGATGTGTTGAATTGGAATTCATTAAGAATTCATTGCATACAAAATACATAGAGAGACAACGTTATATCATCCATTTAAAAGTTTATAATATCAAATATAATATCAATTATAATGTGTGTACCTCTGTTCACGATTAAACGTATTTATACCGAACGCTTTCGATTGTTGACTTAGAAACATATTACATCGTTTTATTTATTATATTTTAGATTCTGAGTGGAGCGATGAATGTACCTATTTTGGATTTATAATTATGTGTAATGTTTTGTGTTTTGTGACCTGTGTACACGATAAGTAGTCGAAATAATACTTTGATTTTCAACTTCCGTAACTTTTCCGGTGCAAAAGTGAATATAGTTGATGCTTTTAAAAGGTCGAAATCTAAAATCCTCAGTTGTTTCCAAAAGTGCCGGGTAAACCAAAAAAAAAAAAATTAAGGAAAACAGGAATTTCTACGTAAAATTGCAGGTTTTAGGTGTAACTCTCAACTCTTTTCTGTTTTCGTGGCAGCTCTGGTTTTATTTTTGTTGTTATCTGTTATATTCGTTCGATTTGACATTTTGAATGGCTTATGTGATTTGGTGTACCTATTGTGTTAATCATGCGGCGCGTCTTAATGTCGAACAACTTATTTTAGCACTCAATAGTCAATATACGCATTAATAAATCAATATAAACACGGGCAAAGATCTGTTCACGGTTGGCACCGCAGCCAGGGTGCGGTTATGCATGATATTATGTTTCACACTTAAATCGGAGTATATACTATATTACATAGGTACATACGATTTCAATGTATATAATTTTTGTAAAAAAAAAACTTCTTTGATAAAGTTATTTCTAAATAACTTTCGTCCATGTTTATGAAACGTCCTGCAGACTGCAGTGTATAGGCTGACATACCGCCTCCGCTCAGAATCGTTTTTTGTGCACATATAATTGCAGATACATTGTTAAATTCATACTTAACACATCCATTACGTATCTACTAAATTACGAGTTACACTCGACACCTACTATACTGCAGATGCAGAGTGACTTCTCGGATTTTCATTTAAATTAAATACAATACAGCTAAAGTGTTATATAATATGATTTGATAGTACACCGGTGTCTATCAAACAATATTTGGGGGTTCGAAATAAGTCGATAATCCAATGCCCAATACGGAAATCAAACAGTATACCATCTAATTTATATAGGTGTCCTAGTTTTGTACAAGGGCCAAGGGGAACAAATTAACTAACAATTTAAAGAAACCACTATGGACTTAATAACAGATATTATATATTTTAATTTACGAACGCTTCACTTCATTTACAGCCTACCGAGTACTGCACGATACATAAGTATCTTATATTTTAAACGTTGACAATAAAAAATGCGCCTGCAGAATGGAATAATAGGCACGACTACTGCAATAGGTATATACTACACAAAGATTAATAACCCATATATACCATATTACCATACGTATAATTATATGTAAACTAAAGCGGTTAGATTGTTAGATAATAGCAATGTTACAGGCTTACAGGATACAACCGCGGTATTATAACGAACAGTAATAGAAATAAAGCCACTCAATATCATATACATATTAAATGACGACTTAATTAATTTAAAGTGAACTGCCTAAAATACATATGGGTATAATATTATGTTTAGTTGAGTGGCATTTAATTTAATTGTATTATTAATCGAAGCATGATTTCGACTTCATTTAAATCATCGTATTTTTTACTAATTTTATTCAATGATTTTTCTTTATTATTATTTTTTTTAATTACGTAATATGCTTTCGTTTTATTTTCAGAATATTAAAATGCCAGGGTTCTTTTTAGATTTGGTCCCAACTCCGCATCCAAGGTGTTATAGGAGTTTCACATTTTTTTTTTTTTTAGTTTTTCCATATTGGTACCTAATTTCTGATATTCTTCCAGTAGGCGTGTGTTTGACAGTCAGGGACTTACGGTTGCTCCGCTACTGCAGGTTTCACATATTGGTGAATAATATTTTGGAATGAGAAAACGGAGCAGTGGAATTCGGGTACATCTGACTCTAGTGCTTTTCTTTTTAATACTAGATTTTTCATATGTTATGTATATACGTTGGCCATATTATAATTTAATTTATAGTTTAGATTTACTGCCAATGTGTTTCCCATTGAACTTTAATTTTTTCTTGAATTCTGTCATGGTTTTTGTGTCTGCATAAATACTTTGTAGTACGTGTGGTGTAAATATTATTTGGTCCATATGCTTAACCAATAGTTATATTTTTTCTACAACAAATCGCTATCACCGAGTATTTGAGTGGATTCGCATTTGCAATGTCTAATCGAATGTCTATGTTTAAAAAATATGTTTATAATGGACAAGAGAAGGATACCGCCATATTGGTTACTAGGTAGGCTTTATTGGCATTTACTAGTAAATAATAATTAATATTAATTTTTCAAAGTTTCAGCTATTTGTAATGTATTTAGTATTTACTACTATAACTTATCTTTTATTATTATTTCTATAAAATCAATAAATGATTGATACAATGATACTATCTATACAGTAAGGAAATTTACTAAACATCTTTAACTTCCACAATTATTTATGTGTATAATATACTTATCGACTACTTCAACCATGCCAACCTTCGGGTTAGAACCATGACCCGCACTAGTTATAACATTGGTAGTAGGTATTACAATAAGTTCAGCCAATAGAAATAAATAACATATAGTCGATTCACCACCTTGTTAATTTTTTCTTCAATTATGAAATTGGTCGAATTCTGATTTTTGGTATTTTTAAGTAACCCACTTCAGGAGGATATTTTAAAATGCTCCATATAGTATTCTATGGAAATTAAAAATTTTTCCAAATGATAAATATTTTACTAATTTTTTTGAAAATGTTGGTGCATCTAAATCAAAATTCAAAAGGGTAGAATTCGAGTAATTGAAATGATGATAAGTCTTACACAACTATAAAATAGATGTTATATTAGATCTACTATTTCTGACAATTTTTATAGATAATAAAATGTTAATAAAATAATATTGATTACTATAATTTTCAAAACCATCAAATAGTCCACATATACCTATAGCTTCCGAGTGCATTACTAGCTCATTAATCATCATCATGGACCTACAACCTATTATTATTATAAAAATAATATTATTATCCATACTACATAAAGTTACTAATACACTCAAACTACTATTTTGAATTTCAGTTTAGTTATACATTAAAACGTTCAATAGTTCATCTGCTTAACAATTTACAAGAAAAAAGGTTAGGTTGAAAAAAGAAATTGGTATCGCTACAGCCCTTAGGGCACTCCTTACACAAATGGTTTGAACTTAGAATTTGAAAACATTCCAAAAATCAAAGTTTGAATAGTTGAAATATTGATAGATAAAAGTGGGCGAGCTTTGCTTGCGGTGCATCATTCTGTACAATACATTGTAGCCAGTAGACATGTCAATAGTTCTAAAACTCGTATTTCAACTGATAAACTGACCACTTAAATTATTATTGCATTATTAGTTATCCTCTATCTTATTATCCGCTAGACCAGGAAACGATTTGCCGAATATTCGGCCGGTTGACTGTCGTTGATGGGCACGCGCCGTGCAAAA